CGATCCTATAAACCACATTATTCATATCAGAATAGTGGTTAAAAATTATTAGTGACTATACTAATGACTGTAAAACAAAATTATGATAAATGATACATATTTAAAGTATGTTATATTAAAATAATACACTGGGTCGTTTTCAACATCAAAAAATTTTTAAATAAAATTATTAGAAATTAATCAAATTATTATTAATTCCAAAACAATATTAACTATTAATTAATTGTATTTAGTTTATAACACATTAATTTTTATGACATTGTTATCAAAATATAGTGAATCATCGTTTTTGCTATTATTCTAGCAGAAATTACATATTGTTCTTGAAATGGATGTTAAAATACAAATACAATAAATTGTCCTTGTTATCACTTTTGATAAAAATACATGTATGTGTTATTGTTAAACACGTTTTATTTAATTTAGTCTTTTACCACTTGAGCATTTATTTTATATTAGTTTTAATATTAAATCATCTTAATTAATAATAATAATAATAATGAACAAGGAAATTTGCTATAATAACTGCATTATTATCAGCAATAATGTATCAAGATTAAACGAAAAATGGCCTACAGACTGGTCTCAATACCCTGGCATCCCATACATACCGGTGCTGACCGAATGGGAACATTGGGTGCTCAACAACGTGGACATGGATTACATTCGTGAATTTTGGATAAATAATTGGCATTATTCAATATACATAGCAGTGCTATATTTGCTGTTAATACCAACGTTAAGCCTATGGGTGCAGCATCGCGGTCGACCATACAAACTACGGTCAATGTTAATCCTATGGAACACTATTTTAGCCGTATTTTCTATCATAGGCTTTACGAGATGCGCCCCACAGTTCTGGCACTTGTATCGTACCAAAGGCTTTATGGCCACTATATGCCAGTCTGATTACTACCGAGACATTAGGGTACTATTATGGTACTACTTATTTGTTTGGTCTAAAGTGCCTGAACTCATTGACACCATGTTTATTGTGCTACGCGGCTCGAAGCTAATTAACCTACACTGGATACACCACTGCCTAACCCTGGTATACAGTTGGTACAGCATTGGTGACCAACCGGCCACTACCCAGTGGATGATCACGATGAATTATGGCGTACACTCACTAATGTATACATACTATGTCTGTATGGCCTGTGGTTGGCGGCTATCCCGTCGCCTAAGCGCATGCATAACAAGCTTACAAGTCGTCCAAATGATGGCCGGATTTTACATTAATTATGTGGCAATGAATAGGAAACTCAATGGCCAGCCGTGCGATGTGTCACTACATGTGGCCAAAACCGGAGTTACACTGTATGCTCTGTTTATGGTGTTGTTTATGAACTTTTTTGTTAAATCCTACTTGCTTAAACCACTATCTGTTAAGCCAACTAGAGTTAAGCGTGATTAATTATTGCAAATAAAACTTACATTTAATTTTATGAAGTAAATCTATTTATTGTGAGCAGAAATGAGTGCTTATTAGAGGTAAAAAAATTGTGCTAATTTAGTTTATTTAATGTTCAGTTTAATAAAAGTATATTATATTAGAAATTAATTATCATTAGAATTTTAAGGTTTTAATTTTATTACAACGAATATTGAATCAAATTATAACTACTAGTATCGAATTGTCATTAATATAAATAAGTTGCTATATTAACATATTGCTTTATTGTAAAATATATGCACATGTTTTATCATTTTATTAATTGAGTTAAATTAAGTTAATGAGAGAGAGAGAGAGAGAGAGAGA